CGCAGTGCCGTGCTCAGCTGGAACGCGCCGCCTCCAAACAACGCCCGCGGCTCCCCTATGCCCCCCAGCGGCCCAGTACCGACGGGGGTGCTGCTGCTCCCAGGACAGGGCGCGGGGGCGGCGACACCTCCCCCTTGCCCTGCGCCAACAACAGAACGCCCCCATCGGTCTGTAGCAGCCAGTCGGCTTGGGGGGAAGCGCCAGCAGCGTCGCGGAGATTTGCTCAGGAAGCCGGCCAACGCACTCCATGGCTCCAACAATTAAAGCAAGAATGTCCAACGCATGGCCACGCAAGCATTGAAAGCGCCTGCAGTTGAACGTCAAAGGAAACAGACGACCCCGATGGCATCGGCGCCGAGCCTGGGCGAGGGGGCAACCGGGGAGGCCGACCCCGGCAGCGCCCCCCTCCCTCGGCCTCAGAACGCCGACGACATGAAACCCCTCGCCGACAGAGGCGCTAAGGGACCAGACGCGACAGCTCCGTCCGCCGAGGGCGTCGTGGACGGTGTCCGAGGGGAAGGGCCTCGAGTGCACGCATGGGCCCTCATGGCACCTGCGTCGACGCCTTCTCTGATCCGAGCCCGCCAACTCTCACGTGACTCATTGGCGGCCCCTTCCATGGCCAGGTCGAGGGCTGCGCCCGGCCACTCTAGCAAAGATGGCCCCGCGGCCTCAAGGAGTCTGTTTGGCGAAGAGGCGAGACTCGCCACCTCCCAAAGACGGCAGCGACGATGCTCGCCCGCCGCGGTAGAAGCAGATGGGGGGGCGCAACCTAGGAACGGGCCGGGCGGCCTGCCCCCCCTCGCCTCGGTTCGCTCCTTGCAAGGAGGCTAGGGCGCGAGTCTGGGTGCTGAGCCACAGAGCCGAGCGGAAGCGAGCGCCCCTGACCTTGCGGCCCCTGCCCGAGAGGTTCTCCCAAACAAGATGCGCCCCCGCAGAGCGCGAACCAAGGTCGGGGAGATCGGCCCCCAACGCTGGAACATGCCCCAACTCGGCCTCGCCGGCCCGCGCAGCATGACGCGGAGTGGGCAGCGCCGCCGCCGCCTCAGCGCCATCTATGGGTGAGGGACAGAATCGTGTCTTGCACAACTTCACAGCCCAAACGTGGAAAAACAAACACTGGCCCAAAGCCTCGGGAGGCCCTCTGCCACGGCGCCTGTTCCCAGAGGAATGGGCGCGCACCCATCGGCCGAACGATGAGCTTCGACTCCCCGAGGTCTTGCGGCGACGCTTTAAAATCAGCCCCATGCGCAGATGGACATGAAGTAGGCCAACAGACGTTCGCCGATGGCAGCAAGGATGTCAATGTTCCTCTCGCCGGGCTTCTCACTGCGGCGAAGGCATGGCGGGCGCGCCGCGAAGTGAAACCTCTCGGGAGGTGACCCTCGCCAGCAACTGCTCTGCCCCGCATGGCCCCCGCCCCCCCGCGGGGAAAATGGAGGCGTGGAAAGTTTCTGGCAAGAACGAACGCCGGCGGAAGTGGGGCCCGCGGCCGTGTCCAGAGCGGGCGAAAAAACACTCTTCTAACCGTTCCTCGCGCACCGAGCCGAAGCCCGATCGCCCCCCCCCCCCCTCCCCGGCGTAGCCCGCGATCTTGGCCAGCGATGACATGAGCCGGCGTCTCGGCCATGATCAGTTTCATTGTGGGCCAGCAGTTGTGATTGACCGAGTGGATGCAGAGCTCGAAACTGTTCGGGTGCACCTGGCCCGACTGACGGAATCCCTGATGGGCCCACGAGGAGACGCCGCTTGCGGGAAAATCCCCGGGGCCACTAGTGCATTCGACAGGGCAGCGCGGCTCTAAGCTGGTAGCGACAGGATGAACCTCGCGGGGCTGAGCAAGACCCATGAACAAGGTGCGGACCGTCGGCGAGCTCCTTGTAGACTCAGCATTTCCTGCAGCTCCAGACGCCGAGATGCATCGAGATCTCCACAACGCGTGCTTCGCAGCACCTCGCAGCGAGGCCCTGCTCCGTTCGAGGGTCTCTCTGCGCCCGAGGTGAGGGGGGGGGGCAGCGAAGATGGCGACAGGCTCGAGGATTAAGAACACCTTCCTCTTGCAGCCCCCGCTGGTCTCCTAGACAGGCCGACTCGCGACAAGAGTGGACAAAGTGATCGGCGCTCTGGACGACATCAGGAAAAAAAAACAATAATGTATAATTAGATGGCGAGATGTTATGGCCCAAGGCTGCTCTTCTTCTGGGCGGCCAGAAAAATGCATCATCGCCGCCCTCCGCTGGCCGCCGCGTTGACCAGCGCGGGCCCCGGTCGCGGCCGCCCCCGAGACGCGGCCGAGCTGCGCCACAAGGCCTGCTTGCAAAAAAAAAAAAAAAAAAAAACGACAAACTGCCGCTGAAAGCTGCGCTTACTCCCCTGCGCCAACTCAATCGGTCGATGCAGGGGGAATTTCCTGGTCAGACATTGTGATGGCGACGCGCTTGCGAAGCTCAGCTTAAGAAGCGGCATTGTCAACATCGCCATCACACGCAGCCGAGGAGCCTGGCTCCTTGGCGCGCTCGCCGCCGCTGCCCACCGATGCGTCGGATCCCTCCGATCCCCAGTCGGGAGGGCCTCCCCCACCTTCGGCAGCAGCAGTTTCCTCTTTGCCATCGACGACCTTTCTCTTTCTGGCCAACCTCTGAACATGCGCCTCGTGCGTTTTTTTTTTTTTTTTTTTTTTTTTTTTTTTTTTTTTTTTTTTTTTTTTTTTTTTTTTTTTTTTTTTTTTTTTTTTTTTATATTTTTTCTCGTTGGCCTCCTCAACCGACTTCGAGAACGAATTCTGCGCCAAAGACTGAATCTATTCGCGAAGCTATAGAGCACGACGGCCCAATTGTTTCTGATCTCCCGCCGACAACTTGTACTCATCGACATGACAAATCATGTCACAAGGATCCATGACCAACTGCTTCGTAAACGAGTCGTCGATATGGAAGTGAACGTGCGTTTGGCCGTCTGCTCTGGTTCCGCCTGTACTTTACACGTGGACTGATGCAGCAGCGCGACCAACTTAGACTGCTCTTCCTCACAATCGTCCAACTCCGACGAGAGCTGGGTGATGAAGGCCTTCTGCTGCACCATCTGCTGATTCCACTCCTCATAGCGCTGGACCGCACCGTTGAGCTTCTTTTCGGCCGACCGCGTCTTGGAGTGCGCCACCCACAGTGGATGTTGAAGCGTGGGTTCCTTGGCGACGAGGGGAGAGCAGCCAACGTGCGATGTGTCGCTGCTCGTTGCACATCGCCAGACTTCTCCAGCAAATCAAACAGTTTTTCATGCTCCTCCCTCGGGAGCTCACCGTTGCAAGACGGCGTACCTCCGCCGTGCGACTGGCCTGCAGCACGAGGGGGGCCGTTGGCACCGAGTTGCCCTGGAGGCTGAGCCATGCTGGCCGCAGCCAAGGGGGAATAACCGAACCCACCGTTGGGCATACCCCAAACTCCCCTCGGCGGCGGAGACCCACTGCTCGTGACAGATGGGGTCGAACTGGCGCCGCAATGTTTGCACTGCTTCCAACGCACATCAGTCTTCTTGCGCCCACAAGCAAAACAAGTCCACACCGACCATTTGGACGCATGCTGGAACTGCTGCTCCTGCTGTTGCTGGCTGCCATTAGCAACGCGCCCACCGAGCTGAGGGCCTTGAACGAGCGGGTGCCAAGGACAGTGATACTGAACCATACTACCAGCGCCGCCATCGCCCCAACGATTGCTCGAAGAACCCTTGCCGAAATTAATGCCCTTGCCTTTGCCAAAGCCCTTCCCATGTGAATGGGCGCGCGCCATGGCAGGCACGTGATGAAGACTGGAGGGAGACGGCCCTCAACTGTAAACCTGGCTCGCGGGCACAGGGTGCCGTTTTGAACATGCACCTGCAACGCTCAATCGCTCGAGCGCAAGACAGCTGACACGTGGCGGGATCCCGAAACCCCGAACCTAAACAACAATTGGGAGTGCATCTTTTTACTTCCGCCGACTTCCGTCGCCCTTCCGCCGCCTTCCGCCGGGGAAGAGATCCCAGCTCCTTCGAGCCTCGAAGGCGAGGCTCCTGCCCCAGATGTCCAGCCGCTCCATCTGCTCAGCGCGTGGGCCCCAGAAAGGTCTGGACCACCTCACCAGGGCTGGCTTCTCGTCGCGAGCCGTTCTGTGGATGGCCCCGAGGCTCAGCGAAGGCTCCTGGAGGCCGAATTGCGACAGCACACCGGCCTCTCCAAGTTTTCGCGGAGCGCTGGACCTCTGGGTCTGAAGCGCCTCACGCCAGAGGCCTCCGTCCTCGGGAGGGGAGTGGCTTGGACACCCGAACTCGGTACAGAAGAAACGGGTGCGATGCCCCACAGCGAACGTAGTCTTAAGTCGGGCCTGTCACCTACAGGGGGATTTTCGACGACAAATGAGAAATACCCAGAAAAGAATCAGAGAATAATCCAAAAATAATCAGGGGACTATTTTTTGAGTATTTTTTGACCTGTTTGGGGCATTTGGGGGGCATTTTCTATTTTACGTCGAAAATCCCCTGTAGGGGGACACGCCCAGCATGAATGTAGTCCCAAACCGACAAGGGCCGCTGTTGGGCAGGCGGCCCTCCGTCTCAAAGGAACAACGTCCGCGGCGACACCTACAGCGACTCCTGTTCATAATGAACAACACAACAGGACAATGTCAAGCGCCATAAACATAAACTTCTGGCGCTCCGCGAGGAGTTCTTGGATCTGCGCTGGAACCCCCGTCCTGGCGAGCGGAGCGCGCCAGCGGCGGCGCCGAAGGCGCCGCCCGGAGGGTCCCAGCGCGGATCCAAAAAATCCGCACAGAGCTCCCAAAGTTTACGTTTATGCCTTTCGCTGCCCTTCGACAGGGGGGACTGGCTCATGGGGGGCGAGGGGAAAAAGGAGGAGGAGGAGGAAGAGGAGGAGGAGGAGGAGGAGGAGGAGGACCCACGATGCTGTCGGTCTTTGCACCCGTTCGTTCCGTGCCCATGTCGATCGTCCCGTGGTGGGGGCTCGCCTCCCGGTGCAGGGGCTCGTCGTCGCTCAGGAGGGACTCCCGCGTGGCGTGGGGCGGCAGGACGCTGCCCTCGTGCCACCTGCGCCCGCCCCGCCCCCTCTCGTCGTTGCCGGCCTTCTCTGCGCAGGGGAGAGGAAGATTCAGGTCGGGCATGTCCTCATACAGGCGGATTTTGGACGAGAAGTGAAAAAATCAACAAATACTAAAAAACGATTCCAAAATGATGAAAACACATCGTCCCTGGACCATTTTTGACTATGTTTGAATATTCCTCCTGTAGAGGGACACGCCCGACTTCAAGGCAAAGGAACAACCAACTGCACGAACGGAAGTTTGTGACGGTCCGCGCGGATGTCTTGGATCTGCGCTGGGGCCCCCTTCCTTGGCGCGGGGTCCCAACGCAGATCCAGGAAATCCGCGCGGACCTCCGAAAGTTTACCTATACGACCACCCTTCGGGTGATAAGGAGGTTCGGGGGGGGGGAGGAACCAACGTCTCACTCGATCGGTCTCACTATCGATCTCACTATCGATCTCAGTATCGGTCTCGCTCGATCGATCTCCCTCGATCGATCTCACAATCGATCTCACTCGATCTATCTCACAATTGATTTGACTATCGATCTCACAATCGATCTCACAATCGATCTCACAATCGATCTCACAATCGATCTCACATTCGGTCTCACTATCGATATCACAACCACTCTCACAATCAACGTCATCATCATCATCATCAACAACAACAACATCAACATCAACATCAACATCATCATCACCAACATCATCATAATCGGGACACCGTCCTCATCATCAACACCAACATCATCATCATCAGGGTCATCTACATCATCGGGACACCACCATCATCATCATCATCACCATCATCACAATCATCATCATCAACATCATCATCATCATCATCATCAGCAGCATCGGGACACAGTCATCGTCATCATCATCATCATCAGCAGCAGCATCAGCATCGGGACACCATCATGATCACCATCGTCAGCATCATCATCATCATCATCATCATCATCATCGGAACACCATCATCATCATCTCATCCTCATCATCGACATCATCATCATCAACATCATTCACATCATCATCAGCATCATCATCATCGTCGCCATCATCGGGGCACCATCATCATCATTAACAACATCAGCATCAACATCATCATCATCATCATCACCATCGGGACGCCATCATCATCAGCATCATCACAATCACCATCATAATAATCATCATCATCGGGACGCCATAATCATCATCAACCTCATCATCATCAACATCATCATGATCGAGACACAATCATAATCAGCATCATCAACATCAACATCATCATACTCATCACCATCGGGACACCATCATCGTCATCATCATGATCATCAACATAATCATCATGATCATCATCATCCTCATCACCGGGACACCATCAGTATCATCATCATCGTCATCATGATCATCATCGACATCATCATCATCATCATCATCGACGTCATCATCATCATCGGGACACCATCATCATCATATCATCATCATCATCATCATCATCATCATCGACGTCATCATCATCATCAGCAGCAGCAGCATCATCATCAGCATCACCATCACCATCACCATCATCATCATCATCATCATCATCATCATCATCATCATCATCATCATCATCATCTCATCATCATCATCATCATCATCATCATCATCATCATCATCATCATCATCATCATCATCATCATCGCGGGACACCGCGGGACACCGGCGGGACACCGCGGGGCACCGCGGGACACCGCGGGACTTTCGCGGGACACCGGCGGGACACCGCGGGCCACCGGCCGCCCGGAAGGGAGACATTTGGTCCGGCCGCGCCTCAGCCACACGGGACACCAGCGGGACACCGGCGGGACACCGCGGGCCACAGGGCCGCCCGGAAGGGAGACATTTGGTCCGGCCGCGCCTCAGCCACAGGAGACTTTCTCTCGCCCGCCCACGCAGCTTCGCCTCGCCCGCACGCACGGCACGCACGAACACGAAACCGAAATCGATTTCCCGGTGGGGGGCTCTCCGTTCCACTTCGATCTCACCCCCTCACCTCCGATGTTCATGCTTTTTCCCCAATCAGTACTTGCACTGAAGGGGTCCTAGCGAAAATGGAAAGATTTGGCGAAAGTGTCCCGCCGATTTTGGTGGCCGGCTGGGTTCCTGGGTTCCAAGGTTCCTGGTTATTGGTTCCGGGCCGATTTCGGTGGGTTCCGGGTTCCTGGGTTCCTGGTCGATCTCCTTATCGATCTCTTTATCGATCCCACGATGCATTCTGGATCTCATGATCGATCTCCCGAATCATCACAATCAATCGACAACACCATCGATCTCATCAAACCATCAACTTGTTTTGTTTTTGCTCTGGTGTAATGTTCACGCTTTTTTGTTCCCCGAACAAATAGGAGGAGGGAGCGAGCGAGCGAACGAGACCCAAGATGGACAAGCGCGTTCCACTACTCGCAGAGTAGCTGCTCTCGCAGCTGGCCTGGATCCGCCGCGGGGGATATACGATCCATTACATCGAGGCAGATATGTGACTTTCGGATGTGTGCGAGCAGGCATTTTGCGAGCAGTGGAGCGCGCTCGGTGACAAGAGTGCGTCTGCACGAGACGGGCACACCTCTCGGAAGATTGGAGAACCTGATGGGCCGCAGCGGCGGCAGGCACCAGGGCATTGTCGGGGTCCCAGGCAGGCCCCGACACCAGAAACCTCCCGAGCCAGACGTCGAGCAGCGAACTCGTACCCTCCACGCGGTCGGGGCTCCAGGCCGCGGCTGACACGGCCGATCGCCGCGAGCTGGTTCCGAAGGGCGCCGGGGTTCTCAGGGACGCATCTATACGCGAGGCGGACGAGGAGGAGGTAAGAGGAGAAGGGGGAGGAAAGAAAGGGAAAGACGCAAACTGGCTGCGCTGGGGGCAAATATGACATCTTACCGCTACCACCCATTCGTTTCCATTGCGCAGAATCATTTATTATCCGCCGACTGAGGTAGGTAGACTAGAGGTTCTTGAGCTTCAAAACGACCCCATCGTGCGATAAACAATCCGGAGAAATGGAACACGTCAAAGGAGGAAGAGGAGGAGGAGGAGGAGGAGGAGGAGGAGGAGAAGGAGGAGGGGGAGGAGGGGGGAGCAGCAGGCGATCGAACAAGAGGATGACCAGGAGAAAGAGCAGGATGAGGAAGGAGATGGAGAAGCAGGAGGAGAAGCGGCATGAGCAGGATGATCAGCGGAACGCGGAGGAGGGAAAACAAGTGGGGAGGCAACGACGAGGAATGAATCGGATCCAGAAATGTGGCCCAGGCTGTGGCGAACACGCCTTTCTGAGCGGAGGAGCACGCCAACGATCCTCAAATGTGGCAATGGCCACAGAAGAGCACAACAATTTCCCGCAAAGCTGCAACTTCCCCATCGAAACCGATCGGTGATACCAGGAAGCGGCATTCAGAAATACCAGCCCGATTTTGCCACGAACCCTGGCCTTGGAGGACACATTGGCGTGACCTGCGGGGGCAAATAAAACTGAGAAGGGGATGCCGACAAGCCGCATGAGACTGATTCCCGTGTTGTCCGTTTGACGTTGTGCCGCGTTAAGGCGCATGATGTTGGTTGCCGTCTTGTTCGTTAGACGATGTGCCGCTTTGTCGGGGCGTCGCCGATCGTCTTGGGTTGGAGCCCTGTTGGGCAGTCTTCAGGCCCTGGGGCGTCTCCGACGATCTCGGGGCCGTCTTAGGCAGTCTTGGGGCCCTCTTGGGGGCCTCCGGGGGGTTGCTGGGGACCTCCTGGGAGCCTCTGGGGGCCTCCGGGGGGGGCCTCTTGCGACCTCCTGCGGGTTTTTTCGGCGGAGACCCCAAAATGCTGGTCCCTGCGCTCCCTCTGGAGCCCCTCTTGGCGCGTTCCTTGGGCCTTCTTGGGCCGTCTTGGGGGCCTTTTGGGCAATTTTGGGTGCCTTTGGGGCCTTGTCGGCGCTCTTTTGGGGGGCCTCCTCGGCAATTTTGGGACGATCTTTGGGGCCTTTTGGTCCACAGCGTCGGGAGGCCGATAAGGCGAAAACTCGAAACACCAATAAAAACCGCAGGACAATTACGCTATCGAGGGACCCCACATACTTGTACGATGTCTGGCGTGATGTTAGCTGACGTGGAACTTGCGAGAATGTTGCTGGTGGCCGTTGCTTCGCCGATATCGTTGGTGGCGTTGATCAAGCCTTGGGAGCGTGAGTTCCCTGAGGTGGCTCAGACACAAAAAAAACAAAAGCCTGGGCGTCACTGGCTATCCGCCACTTTGGCCCCGCCAGCTGGCTTGACAAATTGAGGCCTGGGCGCTGCAGGATGGAATGTGCCCAGAGGGGGGCCCGAACGTGCACAAGCCCGAGACGACCCAGGATCCCAGTTGAGCACGCGGAGCCCAAGGACCATATTCTGCGCCTGGTATGCCCTGGACGACCGTCACGGATCGCGGCCGCCCTCAAAAACCACCCCCTGCGCACCCCCTGAAGTGTCGAGAACATGCCGCGCCCGCTATGCCCTGGACGACCGTCACGGATAGTGGCTGCACCCAGGCACCACCCCTTGCGCAGCCCCCATGGTGTCGAGAATCTGCCACGCCTGTTATGCCCTGGGCGACCGTCATGGGCAGCAGGGCGCAAATGTTCCCCTATCCGCGGACGCGTGTCGCGGTGGACCTGGGAATCAGAAGAAGGATGTTCGGTGGTATGGTAGACGACCATCGAAAGTAAAGATTCACGGTGTGCCTACAAGCAAAACGAACGGAGGTTCGCGAGGAGACGAGAGGGGGCGAGGATTTGTCCCAGAAGACACTTGGAAGCGGCCTGCAGCGTTCACGAGACAGGGAGGGGCGCTGGAACGTGACCTTCGGCATAACGCCTCTGATCACATCTGAGCGAAACGAAAATCGGGCGGCGCGCCACCTTCGGCGAAAAACCTCAGACGTTGCATAAAGGAGCAAGAATGATATAACGCCTCTGATCGCGCCTGACACGCCTCAAGCCAATTGCATCGAACGGGGC